TCACCGTCTTTTCTTTGTTTCCTTGTTTCCTTCTCATAACGTTGTTTGACACTGTCGATACATGTGCTCTTTGAAATGTACCTATCATGGCTTATATTTTTATCTTTTGTGACTCAATATATATTGCGTTTCTCAATTATTGTCGGACTTATACCACTACGATAAATCAAGGTATTTATATGTATGTAACTTAATGGGGACTAAATTACGATATAATTATAAATACATACTTGATAATTAATCTGAATTGTAATGCAAATGGTTATAATTGAATCATCTGTAAGATTGTAGATGTCGATAAAATTAGACTCGTTCACTTTCACGATTATTAAACGATGTGTGGACTGCACATATCAAGCGATAAGGAATGCGATCGATATATTTATGTTGTATTTTTATTGAATTCTTGGATTATTTACATTGAAAATGACCCGATCGAGGTTGAAACTGTCTGTATGTAATGCTACATGTAATTGCTAAACATTCTTTATTTTATATTTTTCTTATATTAAAATTTTTGTAGAAAATGTATTTTGTATGGCTCGTAACCTTTTTTAATTGCTGATTTATTCTTATTGAGCCTTTTGATAATTCATTTTATTTCCTAAGTTTACATTTTAAATTCGTATTAAATGCGTAAGAATTTAATATTAGAAATCGAATTTGCGAATATTGTGATACGTTTACATGTTTAATATAACGTCAATAGCATTTATTAATACAAAATGCGTGATATCAATATAACTTAGCTTTTTAAAAAAAGATAGAAAAAGATGCTAAGGATATGCTTCTCAAATAAAACCTAAGTGATACATTACGTATCACTTAGGTTTTATTTGTCTTTTTATCTTAACTAACCAAGTTAAATTTTATCAAATTAAAAAGTAAAACCCAAGTAGTACTATAATTGTTATTTACTTATTAATTCTAATTATTCATAAAGTTTGCAGTTCCAATCACGGTTGCCAAGTCTCCAGATTTCGACTGGAAACTCCAGTTTTCAGGATCAGTTTCCAGTTCTCCAGCAGATGGGAAAAATCTCTAGTTTTTCGCTCGCGCGGGGTATTTATTAATTGCATATTTAAATCTGTGGAAAGTAATAAGAAAGTCTGTGATTATGTTCACAGTTTATGTTATTTTACGAATAATAAAAAAGTTTGTAATTGTGTTCGTACTGTATGATAAATTTTGTAATAATAATACGAAGGTCTCTGTGATTGTGTTGATACTTTAGGTTGGTCAAATATAAATAACAAAAAGAAAGTCTGTAACAGTAATCGCAAAACACGAATTAAATCTTGCGCCTTTTTCTTTCTTTTTTTTTTTTAAATGAAACAATCGGCCGGTCTCCAGTCGAAATATGAAATCTCCAGCGCACGAAGATCTTCGGGTCCCAGCTGTACAGTGCTCGGGATCTGGCAACCGTGTTAACAACCATGATCGTTGGACATCCAAGGAAGTAGACGCTTATGTATTGATTCATAACAAAACTTATTTATTTGTAAACTCACAAAATGATAGTAGCTAATCTACACAAAATGATATCGCAATAGTAATATAAATCGGATCGTACAAGGAAAAAGGCGCGCTCGCCAGCAGGTGAACAAAGCGAAGCGAAAGACGAAAAGAATATAGAAAGGATCGCAACTGAAAGGGTATATGCGCGCCTTATATAATAGGCGCCAAAGAAGCGATCTTCGTTATCATGTGACAGTTCGAAAAATTTAAAAGAAAAGGAAGAAACTCCAAACTTAACAATATGTTTAAGGCTTAGGATGCTCGCACGGAATGCAAGAGATCCGGGTTCGACTCCCGGTCGAGGCATTATTTTTCGCAATAAGTTTTATTACAGTTTTTAAGTTGGGGAATTTGGGGGGATTATTAATATTTTCAGATTTGATTGCGTTGAAAGTCCGACAACCATATCGGCACGCAATTATCATTTCTGAAATTAATTCATTTAAATGAATTTACAATAGTTCAACATCTTAACGTTCTGACCGTTATGGCGCTTCTTAATTTAAAATTATTATGTTTAACATTAGCGGTCTTTCAATCTTATTATTGTTAACAATATGTATCATTTATATAAAAGATTTGATATCAACAACTGGCGCCAAGTAAAATTCCACAAAATTTTATGTATCATTCGTATAAAAGATTTGATATCAACAATTGACGTCAAGTTAAATCCTATACTAAATTAAATAAATAATATTAATTCTAATGATATGTAAGATTCATGTAAATTTGATATGAACAACTGGCGCCAAGTTAAATCCCATACCAACCATAGAAATAAAATAAAGAATATAATCCAAGTGGTACTATCTTTAACTTATGTACAGGGTGTTGCACCAACATACAGGTCAGTATGATGGGTTGCCCATTCGTGCAGGCGCGCGAGATCGTTCACAATTGCATACACTTCGGCGGCACAATCATAGCACACCCTTTTTTCCAATAAAGTTCGTAGCATATCAAATTGTGGTGCAATTATGACGAACTTCCGTAGGAATAGGTTAAAACAGAAGCCGAAGTGACAAGATATAGGTTATAAAAACGAATTTTATCGTGAAAACGAAGCATGTTTTCCTTCTTGTAAGAAAAATTTGATCATAGTCGAATGTAATTATTGTGTAATATAATTTGATTGTTTGAATTATTTTTACAGAGAACGAAAGTCAGAAATAAATGTATCTTTGCAAATTTAAATTATAAACCGACAAATAAATTTGATTCACTGTAAATTTAAATAACGGCAATTATCGTTAAATCTTATAATATTTATTTGGAAGAATAACAATTCATTAATAAATTGATTGTTTAATAAACTTCATCCAATAGCAGCGACAGCTCATTGATCCGCTCCGCAACAGTTGAGTCTGCTGATCGCGACCATTGTGCCGCCGAAGTCTACGCAATTGTGAACGATCTCGCGCGCCTGCACGAATGGACAACCCGTCATACTGACCTGTATGTTGATGCAACACCCTGTACAATGAAACCTAAGTA